TCAATATAATTGACAGTTTCATTCGGTAATTTTGGCAATGGTTCTAAAATTCTTGCACTTCGCTTGTTTTTGTCCTTAACCTCATTTTCGTGAGACGACATTGGTTCCACAGCACTGAACATTCATTACAGACACCTCCAACTATTTGACCTTTATATAAAATGAAAACTTCTTCAAAAGGAAATTCATTTACGTCAACAAAGGAACAAAGATCGCAAAATACAATGAGAGAAGGAGATGGCGAGAAAAATTTTGAATAACTTTTAATTATAGAAAATCTCTTGAAGCCAATTTTACCTTAAAGAAGGTTGCTAACTTTGACTGGCAAGTTGGATTCTATTTAAAAGTTTTGACCGACATCAAAGCGATCCCACAATGATTTATTATGCGAATATATTTTCGGTTTTGATGTTAATTTTAGTTCGTTAACACGTTCGTATAGTATATTATTAGGATTGCACCCACAGCAGAAGCAGGAGAAGACAGAGGGACCGAATGACTTTTTCACTATTGTAAAATTCGTAGGTATTCGAAATGATTTCAGGTTATATTTGGAAAAGTAGGTAAGGTACTATTTTTTTACTGCGAACTCGATATTTTTTGGAACCAATATATGAATATTGATGGTTTCGACGCTATGCATGTCACAAAACAACTTTAAGATGTAAAAATACTTTATACCAGAGTACCTACTTACACATTTTGTCAAATCTTATCTCTCATTTTACGATCTCGTCGATCGATCTCATTTGAACAAAAATCGCCCACATAATCGTACCAAGTACTTCTACTACTTCGATCGCGAATGTGGGCTGCCGCATAATATATATATGAAACAAAAGAATATATATATCGTGGGGGTAGTTCAAAAACGTGTTAACTGGTAGGTGAGCCTAACGGCGGATGATTTATGATCTCTGCAAGGGACGGCGGGTAAAAACCCTTCGCAGTCCCGTCTGTTTCGATACACATCTGAAACTTGTTTTTATATCAAAAAATATAATTTCATCGCTTGTGTTTCTTGCTTGTGGTTGACGTAGCGTTTGAAATAAAATGGAAGCGGGTTTCTGTGTAAAACTATTCGGCGGTTTCATGTTGATTGGCGATTGGGGAAGTAAAGTATTATCGAACAAAACGCTAGTGTTGTTTCACGCCCGTTTTCTTTGAGGCCGTGGTATCAAGTTTACTGAAGAATGCCTCTTCTACTTTTCATTTCTTTATCTTTATCAAGTTGTTTCTAGAAAACAAGCACCCTAAATAACCGAGCACTCAAAGTAAAGGTCAACCGATATTTCTGAACAAATTCGACATTGTTACTCCTGTATCATTACTCTAGAATACAATATCAATTTTTTTATTCATTTTCTTAGTCTTGTTCATACTCTCTCTTACTTCCTAGAAGAAAATATTTGCTATCTCTGTCCAACTACTGAAACTTTTTTCCACTATACAAGTAAATCCCACGATACTAAAAATATTATGATCGCACAACTAAGTTGACGATTTATTTGTTAGAACATAATAAAGTTTGGATAACCGAATATATTTTGTTGTGTGTGTGTGGGTTGACAAATGTCCAAGTTTTCAAGGATCTGAACTGAAACGATGCCCTATTTAAAAGTTAATAATTTATACCATGAATCAAGAACACGGTGTAGAAAGCGGGTCAAACCAACAAATACATGTCTTGAGTTTCTTAAAGAACTATATGTACGTTAGTATCAAAATAAATAGCTACCTTAAAATGATATTTCGACTACACTGACTAAAAGACTCAAAGGTCGCTATTTTAAATATCTATAAATATAAAGAAAGTCGTGTTAGTTACACTATTTACAACTAAAGAACGGCTAAACCGATTTGGCTGAAAATTCGCAAGGATTTAGCTAAGAACTGGGAGAAGGCGATAGGATAGGAGGATAGAGTAGTTGTGTAGGTTAGGTAGAGTAGGGTAGGTAGAGTATAGTTTTGATTGAGTAGGTTAGGTAGGGTAGGTAGAGCAGGGTAGGTAGAATAGGGTAGATAGAGTAGGGTAGATAGAGTAGGGTAGGTAGAGTAGGGTAGGTAGAGTAGGGTAGGTAGTCAAATGACGGGAGCGACGCCGCGGGTAAGAGCTAGTAATAATATAAATAAGTATTTTAATGGCACAAATAATTACTAAGAAAGGTTGGAGTAATCATAATGTAGGTGGATTGATAATAATTATTAATTTTAATGAACATACCTAATTAATTACTAAGTATTTTAAAAAAATCGGTGGGTTTGGAGAGGTGCCAGTTATGTTATAAATGTGGGAGCAGAAAACGCAAAGAAAAGGTCGTCCAAACAATTTTTACTTGATTCTTTTATGGGTTGTATTGTCAGATAACTTAGTAAGTATGTATGTACCAGGTATCCTGTACGTGACAGGTTTACCATAACATATTATGCCAGTACTAGTATACGTACTGGTGTGTGTGAGATAAAATCTAATTTTCTCTTGTAAAAATACTAATTCTAACTATATAATATAACTAATATTATAAATGCGAAAGTAACTCTGTCTGTCTGTCAGTCTGCTTGTCTGTCTGTCTATCTTTTCTTCATGTCTAAACTACTGAACCGATTTTTGTGAAATTTGGTACAGACATAGTTTGGAACACGAGAAAGGTCATAGGATAGTGTTTTACGAAAAATCTGCAGGGAGTAACTATTCCACGCGGACGGAGCCGCGGGCAAAAAGTAAGTAGATAAATCTGTCAATCATCATCATAAGCGGCTTTTCACTTATCACTCTATTATCACCACTCTCTTCATATGGGGCATTGAGCATTAGTCACTACGCTTGCTTAAGGCTTATAAGCGATTTCAAATCACTTTAATTAGAAATTATATTATAAACTTACATTGTAAATAAAACTTTTGTTTTCAAATCCAAATTGTTACATAATCTAAAGCTTGTAAGAAGATATTCGTTTCTGAAATGGGAAAATAATCTATTATTCCAGACCATAATCTATCTCTTTGGGAAATTTCAATAAAACCTGTTCAGTAGTTATTACGTGACAAACTTCCATCCATACTTACAGACTTTCACGTTTATAATAATATTATTATGCTACAAATAATATAACATAATGTAAATTTTGTTTAAAATAAAGGCAATATTATAATAAATAAAGCACAGCTTTCAGTTATCGTAATCGGTTTAATTTGAAATCTCAAATGGGAATGTTAATTAAATCGGTTCCCAATACTATCGGGCATTATGCAACCTCTAAAACCGGTATTTAACGATATAATTACGTAGTTATAGAAATAGTAGAGAATTTAATAGCGTATTCAGTAATTTTAGGTACTATCAAAGTAATTATAATTAATGTATAGAGCTTGATCTAATAGTGATTTAGGAAAGTTTTAAAAGCCATTTGAAGGTGCTGGAAAAAGAATTTGTTTGAATGTAATTTTTGTGACGAGAGGTGGCAAATAGCTTATTTTCTTTTTTATGTGATAGGTCGTCAAACGAGCAGACGGATTACCTGATGGTAAGCAATCAGTGCCGCCCATGGACACTCGCAACAATAGATCAGTTATGAGAGCGTTGCCAAACTTTTTGGGATTGGGGATTTGGAGATTAAGGATTAAGGGATTAGGGGAAAGAAAGGACTCCGGTAACCTCACTCACACAGTGAAACACAACGCTGTGGTTGTTGCACACCGGTTTTCTGTAAGACCGTGGTATCACTCCGGTCGAGCCGACCCATTCGTGCTGAAGCATGGCTCTCCCACACTTACAGCTGACGTTGTATCACTTGATGGTAAGCGACAGGCTTCGCCTATAGGCTTGGATGGTTTTTTACTGAATAACCAGAGGAAATTCGAGGATTAGAGGGTTGGGGTTGTGGAAAGGGATGGGATTCAGTAACCACGTCACATGATTCAATTCAATTCAATTTATTTCAGATAATAAAAATCCATAAAATTACATTACATAACATAGATTACATTAAATATAAGTGAAATGAAACACAAGTTTACTTTGCCGTATTTATCACTGCGATCGTGTCGACCTATTCTAGCCGAAGCGCATTTCTCCCATACATTTACTGATGCCTGATATCTTTGAGAAATAAATAAACCAAATTTTTCTTGAACCAATATTTTTGCAGAGAGCGATTTCGAATGTCCTTAAATTGTTTTGTAACTCTACGTAAGTACTTAGCGTTTGTTAGAAATCTATATCAAGGAAACAATTAACACAAACCTAGTTAATGGGAAACTTAAAATTTTATTAAATACACTACACTATCAACACTTTTCATTTAATTACTAGCTACACAAAAGTTACTGTGAAAAAGACTTTAAAACTCAGAAAATAAAGTATAAAGTTTACATCTTAACATTAATCACGCTGTAATTGACAGGCGACCGTCCGTCCGTTGAAAGAATGACAATCCCTTCTTGTCTTCGAGTTGACGTGGTAGTATCCCTTCCGGGGAGCCATTTGTCACCGTACGGTGTGAGGGAAACTAGACATGTCCTGCTTGTAACGTTTTGACTTCTTTTGTGATACGTGTTTGTAAGATTGTACTAAATGTAGTAAGATAGGTAATTTGTTTCGCCTCAAAATCTTTAGAATAGAATTTTTACTTTGCTAGATATATTTTTGTCTATTATTTTATTTCGCTTTGTTAAAATTTGAGCGTGTTTCATTTGTTATATCATACACAAAATTAACGCCAATTACACCTTCAATAAGGTTCATTACGTTTTTGCGTATTTTTAATATAAATTATTAATTTTAGTTTTATCACCAAATAAATGTATTTTAAAAATAAAATGCTTTTATTACGCTCTTTTCGTAAGTTCCTCTTGACTAAACATCGCAGAAACTTTGTTAAAGTTGTTTTTTGCAAAATTTCGTTTTAAGATTTCACTTTAAAAACATATTTAGGTACATATTTATATAGATTACAAGGTAAATAAAATCAAGTAATAATAAAAATTTTAAAGAAACTCACCTGCTCTACCCACACGTTCGTTGTCATGATTTGATTCTTAAGATTCTGAAACAAAAGATGAAAGAGTTTTAGTAATCAATACACGAAATTACTAAAAAACCAATACAATAATGTGTAGGTATCAAATAATGTATTGGTAGGCTTGTAAAACAAGTTTTTAACAGTTTTTTTCCTTATAAAAACATTGCCCTACATTAGGATATTTCCTGTGCGTTTACAAACATACACATTACACCAAAACCCGGAACAAAAATCTGTGTATCACACAATAAAGTTGTTCCGAGTGGGAATGAAACCCGCGACACGTGCGGAAGCCAGTTGCCCAGCCCCCGCACCAACTGTGCAGTCAACAACAATAAAGCTGGCGTTTCTTTTTCCTTCTTCTCTATTCGAATCTGCCCTTTGGAACGATCAACTACCATTACTGATGAACAGTCTGGCGGAATATTATTCTATTAAGACGTTTAAATGTGACCAAATTTTGTTCATGGTTTAGTTGGAATAACTTTTCACTTTTGACTCACTCATTAATGATCCGTTTTAGGCATAAAAAAGCTGCCGTATTTCGGCGCCCTATTACAAGGCTTGCACGTCCTTGTAATACTATTACTCTTGGTGTAGCGGTAGTGAAGAAGAAGAGTACCATCACAAAAGGAAACATACATATACATATGCTGCGAAAATGAACAAGCATGACCTTAAGACCCATGATTTTATTAAGTACCCCTAAATATGATTTTATGAAAAGGTTCCATAAAACCGGTGAGGTGAAAATTAACTACTTACAGTGTTCAAACATAAACCTCTTTAAAATTATTACACTTGAATAGTTTGGTAAGAGGATCCTAACTTTCAACGAACTTTAATATAATTTTGTTTACCCCGTTAATTGCCTTTGACGACACCGCGGCCCAATAGGAAGTGACAAGGTGGAATGAGAAGTTTTAGGTAAAGTTTTGAGGAATATTTTGAGGAATATTTTCGCTGATATTTTATTTTTTCAATAAGTTATTGGACTGCATAATTAAGGCTGCCAAGTTGGCTGACTGAAGTCGTTAATGTAGTCAATTAAGAACGTCAGTCAGCCAATTTGGCAGTATTAGATAAAAAAATAAAGCTAGTTTTATTAAAATAATTTTCAGATTTTTTTTTTTTGTTTTTATTTATTGTCCAGACATTCGTTATAATGTCTAGAAAGAGGGAAAAAGTAAGTGAAACATTTTGTACTTTATCACATAACGTAAGAATTAGTGAGTAATATATAACCATAATTTTGACGAGAATAAGACTCAACTTCTTTGCCAACTATTTATTACAAATCACATTAAAGAAGATTACATTTTTAGGAAAACTAATATTTTTTCCTTAAAATGTAATCTTCAAACAACTACAGAATTAGTGAAACATCAAACTCTTAAAATCCTTCTCGTGTACCTAGAACGCGCTGGTTATACAAAATGTAAACAGGGTTTAAGTAAATGTAGATTAGTAAGTAGGTCGGCATGATCTACACGACGCCGGCGTCGCGTTGTAAGTAAGATGCAGATTAAAATATCATCTTAGATTAGTTCAGAGTTTGTACAACCATTTACCGTCTTGGGATGAATGTCCTTATGGAGATTTTCATGTAGGTTATTGAGACATGGGTACATAATATTTCCATTTTAAATCTCAACCTAAAACCTATTTGTGAACACTTTTAAATGACCTTTAAGTTATTATTATTATTTTTCTCACATTGTTGCGCTAGCTCTAGCAGTATTTATTTATTTATTTATTTAAACATGCACTTACTGGCTCACAGTGAGCACCAAAACGCCAGCAAGCCAATTAATTAAAATATAAAGCACATCAATTATTAAAACAAGAAAAAAATTAAAAACAATACAAAATACAACATCAAGATCCAATAATAAGTGTCAAATATTTACAATACATGTCAAAATAATTAATTATTCCGAAAATCAAAAGGTATGTATTAGGTAGTGGCTAAGCTGTAGGTAACTCCGCAAACGTTAAAATAAAAATAAAATAAATAGGACGAAACCTCTTTTAAGGATTACCTTGAAAGGTTAACCAAATTTGCAATGTAACATATGGCAACCATTTTTGTGGGCTAGGTGTAAGCTTTAGGTAATAAGTTCCATATAGCAAAAATGTAAAATATCTAAAGTTTTCGCTTTTCATGCATGAGGGTGTGGTTTCCAAACCTGCAAGTACCAATGTGACTTTTTCCGAGTTATATGTACTTTCTATGATTATTTCGACGCCACTGACATAGATGAAGGTAAACATCGTGAGGAAACCTGGACTTATAATTTCTAATTATTATAAGTTTGAAATCGCCAACCCTCATTGAGCAAGCGTGGTGGTTAATGCTCTAACTTTCTCCGTATGAGAAGAGGCCTTTTCTCAGCAGTGGGCACTTATAGGCTGATGATGATCTAAAGTAGAACTCTCGGTCTTTTGCTCAGCAGTTGTATTAGAAGTCAAACTATCTACAAGGCAGTCGAAACCTGAAATATCTTCTTTACCTACTTCTTTGAGAAGCACAAGCTTTAGATTATGATAGACTTGCCTTATAATTACTCTGTCTATAGCCATTTCAATATCAAGTTAACGTCAAAATGATAAATTAATTTCGAAAGCTAGTTAGTTCAACATCATCATAATATTTGCCACAAAATACTTAGCAGACACACACTTCTCAAGTTGATAACTAAATAGTTTACTAAACTTATCAATAAGTTTAGTTTGTATACATAAATTGAGTTTACATATTAATAATGTATTATTAGGGAACTTTGAACAATTTGTTAGTAAGTAAGTATGTTGAAGCAGTTTTTGTTCGAAAAAGTAAATTGATATGAAGAAATTTTTCTTTCATACAATAATTGTGATATATTTGAAGCCTTTTTGATATTATGTAGCCACGTGTAACATCAGCAAAACATCAACTGCTGAGGGCAGCCCGTTATCTAATTATGGTCCCCTTACAAAGAACAACCTTAATCTTTACAGTTAGCAGGAAGTTTGGAGACAGCAGTTAAAAAAGTTGAGGTTGATATCTATTATAAATATAAGCAGAAATGACAGATAATTTATATAAAGACAAGAAAAATAAATATCTGAATGCCGTACGCAGGAAGACCCCACAAAGACAACACAGTCTATGTAAATTTGGTTCGAAATCAAGAAAGTTCCGCCATATTATATTCTGTTCCCGTCGTATGTGTAAATGCAAATTCATCAGACACTGAGCCAACTCACCTAACTTAGAGATATGCATGCAAGACGGGAATTAATTGAACTTGTAACAGACAACATTGCTGATGAATAAATCTAGCAAGCAAAAAGATATTTTATATGGAAGTGTCCTAATAAAATGTGATCTGTGATGGTAAAAAATTCTTTAAAAAAAATTTTCTTTTAAAAAAAATTTAAAATTCTTTTTTTTTGTTTTAATATTGTATCAAAACATTACACATTTATTTTATTCTTATCGATTCAAATACATACATTGTTTATTGCTTGTGTTTATATACATATATATTGTGGTGTCACGATTCTGTGTATACATATAATAATAGTCAGTAACTTTCTTCTAAACACTTAAATTAGTGTTTTTCTGAATGGTGGTATTTCATTTGCCGAAAAAAAGCCCATAATTTTATTATTTTCATACCCTGTTATTGTTTTTACCATAGACAGCATTCAATTCTTTTTATATTAATTTATCTGCGATAAAAAACTACTTTTAGGTACAACTTATTGACCTCGGCTAATAAATAACCGCCTTTTTTGTGACTTGAAAATCATCCTATGAGGAGCGAGGAGCGCGGGAGGGAGTGTCAGACTCTTACTGACTAAAAACCCCCCTGTTCCTACTTCTGCTCTAGGCCGAGGTCGCGGTGCCTCATTGCTCTAGGCCGAGGTCGCGGTGCCTCATTGCAATAAATAACCGCTTAAACTACCAAATATCATACGAAAAGCTAAATAAATTACAGACTTATTTTTTTTAATAAGTGATTATGGCACGCTTGGCTTTGATAAATCATAAATCATTTATTTCTTTGCAAACATGGGTGATTGATACATTGATGTTTTCTCATAGTTAGATTAGGTCCCTCTACTTTGTACTGTTACATGGGCATGCAGATATTATTTTTTTATTTACATTTATTTTTATTTTTATTTTTATTCGATATTTTTTTTATCGAAAAGTAACAAACAACGTGTTTGTGTTGCGAAAATTAAAAAAATTCAATGTCTAATATCTGTAACAATTAAACGCAGTTTATAAAGATTAGCAGTTACACCAACGCTTCATTATAAACTCAAAATTAAACTCAGTTCAAATGAAGTGTAATTTTTTCATCGCATGCGAGTTTGACGGGAAATTTTGACGTCAAGTTGAACTTGTTTAATACGATAATACCGAGTTTTAAGTACCTTAACTGCGCACTAACAATAACGGAACAAAGTTAGACGTCCGTTGCACCTGGATTTTCATTATTTGTCCTGTACAGGGGATTGTTCTCGTCTATTTGCTTTTCGGGGGATTAAACCCTTCTAAATTGTTTAATTGTGAAAGTTTCTCAGTGTGTTAAGGTGTATGTTTGGTATTGTTTTAAATTAAATTTCCTATATAGATCTTATTGATTTTTAATCTGGAGTCACGTGTAAGCTCTTCACTTTTTACTCTCATTATCATCACGGCGGAGTTACTTTCAGAATTTTTTACCCCTATATAATGGTACCCTTTTTATTTTTTTGTGAGGGGAAAATCATCAAATGACTTCTCCCGCCCAGGGCCGGGCAGGAGGGAGTGTCAGACTCTTACTGACTAAAAACCCCCCTGTTCCTTCTCCTGCTCTGTGCCGAGGTCGCGGTGCCTCATTGCGCTTACCCCGCAACCCCGGCTGAACATCAGCCCTTTAGGGCCCCATCTGTGGTGGTCTAATGGCTCTTTGAGGCGCGCGCGGAACGCTACGCGCCGTACGCTCGGGCCTGGTTCTGGTCGGGCGGCGAGCTGCCCTTACTCGCCGACCGCAGGCCCGTGCTTACGGTGGCCGGAGATCGTCCCTTGATCCCCGACGCCCGTAGTGTCGCCAGTTGCGGCAGCTGGGGCGTGAGGAGGAGGATTGCTCCCTCACGCGGGCCGCCTCTCTCTTTGCGAGCATGACTGCTTCACAAAAGGAGGAGACGGCATCCCAGTTCCTCTCACTCCGCACCATGGCCTCGACTAAGGCCGGGCGCGAGAGGTCGCCGCCGCCGATCACTTCCCTGAGGATACGGCGGTGCTCAGCCCAGGCAGGGCATACCGCTACCGTATGCTCCACCGTATCCTCTAGGTGATCCTCACAATGACGACACTCGGGCGTTTCCTCCCGCTGGATCCGAAACAGGAACCTACCGAAGCTGCCGTGCCCGGTAAGCACCTGCGTCAGACGGAAGGTGAGGACGCCGTGGCGCCTCTCAAGCCACTCCTCAAAGAGGGGTCTTACCGCTGCTATGGTAGCGTGCCCGGCCCTCGGTTGCGACAGTCGTTGTTTCCACTCTGCCATGAGATCTCGCCGGAGCTCATTCCGCCACGCACTAATTTGGCGCGGCAGAGGATCTTCGCCCCGGCGACGCGCGTCTGCGCGCAAACTGTAGACGGGCGCAAGCGCCTTCGCTTCTAGATCCCACGGCGGTGATCCGGCAAGGAGGTTCGCCGCCTCCCCGGGGATCGTGCGATATCCGCGGATTATTCGGATGGCCATGACCCTCTGGGACGCGACCAGCGTACGTGCCGGCCGCCGCTTCAAGTCCGGCGCCCACACAGGGGCACCGTAGAGGGCCATGGATCGCACAATCCCCATATACAACCTCCGGCAGGAGGCGTTTGGCCCCCCGAGGTTGGGAAGGAGCCGCTTGAGCGCGGCCCCAGACCGTTCCGACTTAGGGGCCAAACGACGAAAATGATATAATGGTACCTTAAGGTGATCATTTTGATTTATTTCATTATTGTATATACATAATTTATAATACTTACCGTAGGTATTAAAAAATATTTATTTAAATGCATGTTATATAAGACGATGATTATTTATTGCAGATCATTTTACAAACCAAACAAAACATTTTTTGCATATTGTGAAGCAAAATGGACCGCTTTATTGCTTTGTGCAAATAAACATTTTCCAGGTTACTCAAAAATATTATATTTTAGACATATATTTTTTGAAACTTCTTTATAGTAGTGTACAACTATATTACCATGTATATAGTAGCGTGTTTATGTAACGGTAACAGTAAAACAATTTTAGTATATACATATATAGGTATATACTTTAACTATCTTTTTTCTGATAGCTTTCGGATCTACACTTTCATTTAATCCACAACAAATACATATTTCAAAACACTGTTAAAATGAATTTTAGATTGTAGTTTACGAAGTCTTATAGCAACGAAAATTTTAAATGTACCTGCAGAGGGTGCTCACCGCTTACATTATTCAGGGACGGTGCTAAACACAAGTCCAACACCAAGTTTCATTGTTCGGTGCACTTCGAAAACTTTTGGATTCCTTTTAGCTTTAATTACCTTGATGTTGGGCTTCAGATAAAATTGCATTCCTTTCAGATCCACGTTCAGTGTGGAATGGGGAATCCGAATTATGTTTGCTCATTTGTTCCTACGTTCCCCGTACGGGTTGGGCGTGATTTTCTCGTTTTCCCATTCTGTATGTTCTTTTCTTTACTTTGTTAGATTTTTAGAGTGCGATTTAAGGCCTTGCAGTATAAATATGTATGTTTCAATTTTAAGTTTAATCTACAAAAAATTCTCAGAATTATAGGGATTTCCAAATAACATAATAATCTTTATATATAAAAATAAATTGCAATATGTGTTGGTAAGCGCATAACTCAAAAACGCCTGAACCGGCCGTGGCCGTTCGGTTGCAAAACAAATGACTGACACCAGGGTAGTCGGATACCCGTGCGAAGCAGGGGCGGTCTGCTAGTTATCAATATCAATATAATTTCACCAGTATTCCATACCATAATTTTCCACACGACTAGAAACATATTTTTGAATCTTCCGTATTACCAGGGGTAGGTTCTTACGCTTAGGTAACTACTAGTACATGTTGGTATAGATATTTATTAGTTTAAAAATAAACATAATATTAAAAAAAGTAAAACCATTTCCCCACACTAAGATTTTCTCCTGTGTTGTTGATGCATTTACAAATATTTTCACTTGCATGTCACTCTCAGAAGCGGACCAACAATTTGGAATCAACTGAGGAATTATTGCCGATCGGGAATCGAGCCCTATGTACATTATGGCTACATACTCGGACTGTCTGCACTCAGTATTCTAATTCAAAATAAAATTAACATTAGAATATGGAATTAAAAAAGTTGCTTCTAGTAAGAACACGATATTAAGCAAAAGTGACAAACTATAATCTTTATTATTTGGCTATATACTTAGTTGGATGACTTGGATGCAGTATTCCCATAAATCACTCGAATCGCACTAAACTCCAAACAGACAAACGAATAGCTACGACTGCGGAACTAGAAATATCAGCTCACGTAACACGGGTATGTATGACGTCACTGATTTATTTTTCTCCGTGATATTGTAGACAATTTGTAATAAAATTTAAACCTTAATATATAAAGGACAGGAATGTATATCAAACAAAGTAATAGGATCTTTTAGGAAATACTTTATGAAGATGCTTTTAATATAATCATGATTTTTAATACAGATATTCGTTTCAGAATCATATTTTTACTCAAAACCCTTTAGTATTTACTACTTCGCAGTTACATACACATGATATTAGATAGACTGGAAGAGTACATGATAGTAGACATGATATTAGATAGACTGGAAGAGTCAATAGACTACCACAGACGAGGCTCAAGAGGGTTGATACTTAGCCGGGGTTGCGGAACAATCACAGAACCGCGGCCTCGGCTGGAGCAGGAGCCTCATCCAGGTTGAGAGAAGTCAGTTGATGATTTTCCCCCCACAAAAAACCTCCGAGTCACCACGAGATCACAAAAACAAATAAATAGTTATTAATATATCCCATACACAATATACGTACCCATACTACACATTACATCTAACAAGTAATTACGTTTCGATACCATCTATTCATCGTTTGATTACAAATCGATTAAATACATTCGAATTTAACAACTCGTATATTACAATTCACATTCAACTATTAACTTGATCTCAATAACAATTTACGTCACAACACAATATAAGGTGCTCGAATTAATATTACCATATTATTTTACTACCGATTTGTCGTAATAGGTAGGCTCTAACTATTTGATAGGCTATCGTTACATGGCCTGCCAGAGTGTCGTAAACACGAAACGATTCATAAAAGTTTTGCGACTTGTTTTCGGTGAAGTAAAATCGTTTACAAACGAATTATTTACCATGTTTTACCACTGCCCTTAAGCAGGTTTCTTGATGATATCGCATTTGAAGTGCCTATATTCAGTTTACAACCGAAATTATAATCAAAAACTCGTTTTATGAAGATTAATCTTAATTTTAAAGGATATTCATCTTAATTTTTGAACTCAGAATTTAGTATAATGATTTTTCAAACAGAAAATGTTATCGTTTCGTTCACATGACATGATAAGATTAAATATATTCCAAAGATAGTTTGCGTTCTTAGTAACTAGATGGCGTCAGGAGTTGGAATCTGAGTTCACCGTTGAACGTGTCTCGAATGTTATGTGATTGTAGTTCAAAAACTAGATGTCGCTAGTTGTTACAAAAATATTGTGCAATAAAATCATCTTAAAACAGCTTCGTAGCTAAATACTTGCTACATTGATTTGATTTGATTATAGAATTAATTTGCATGAAGTATCTATCGAGTACTAGTATGAAGATCTTGCCAACAATTACAAACAACAAATCCTGGTTTAAATTTTGCTTTTGGGTATGTTAGAGTCTTAAATTAAACTCAATGCATTCTCGACACGTCCTAAAATAATGAAGCTTTGTTATATGACTACAAACAAGTTATCATCTCACGCATTTCTATCCACATAAAGTACATAAAACGCAAAATAACGTATCAGAGAACGAAAATAAACCCCACAAAATATAAATAAATATTTATTCTTAATTCAAAATTATAATATCTTAATCACCTGATCCACAAAAGAGATTCAAATTTCGATCCACCACTTATTTCTGAACCGGACAAAGGATGACTTTGCTTGGCTATTGTTACTAAAAATGATGTCAAATGTACTTACACTGTTGATTTATGATATGCTTTTGTACTCTATTATAATGGCATTGTGTTATGTAACGGCTAAGAGCTCATTATGGCCAAGTCATAATAAATAACGGCGGGAATTGGCCTCAACAGAAGTTTTGTGGATAGCCTCTACGTTAGACGCTATAATGCACATTTAATATGGCTAATTGCTGAATTTGCCAAGGTTTTGTATGAATATGCTATAGTATTATTTGGAAAAGATTAGTTTTTGGTCAAAAATACTGAAAACCAACATATCAGGTTTAGACTTGAAATTATTATTGATAAGAAATATTGTTAGGAAGCAAAACTATATTAATATACATATAGCTGTAGCGTCTCATGTGATTGTTAAAATTAAGATTAGCATTAAGGTTACTTAACAAAAACATGAGATTTACACAGCTAATAAAAGTTGATAATAAGGAAAATCATCCATTGACTTTCTCTAGTAAACGCGAGGTAAAGTCAGACTCTTTTTGACTAAAAATCTATCTAAACCCCTTTGCTGCTCTGAGCCGGGCCACGGTCATTCCGCTTGTAACTACAATCGAGACCAGGCATCGTCCCTGAAGGACCCCATCTGTGGCGAACTATGATGAGTCTTTGAGTCGCAAGCCGAACGCTCGGATAACTAATGCACGCTTACCTCTTTGAGAATCACATTTGGAACACGTCCACCTCTATCTAACCCTTTAGGAATTATACGATGTTAAAAGACCTGACGTTGTATTTAGCATTGCGGACAACATTACTGCAGCGAGTTTAAATAATTTCACCGAATCTATTTCTGTTTGACAAACAGAGCTTTGAAACGCGGTAGCTAGTACTTAATTAGCATTTTTAATAGGAGCTTGTTAGAACATTTAGGTGTTGACTCAGTCTGCTGTTTCAATTTGCATGTGTCTATGTTTAAACAGACTTTGCTTTTCAATTGAGTTTGTACCTTCAGCTATAGATACCTGATTTTAGAGTCATGTGTTAACAGATATTTTTAACTTTGATTATAAGGTTGGTAAACATCCATTATAATATTATTTATTTTGGATGTGATTTATTTTCTACTGAATTATCACAAAACGGATTTTAAAACACAAAGTCAAAATCTTTTATTGGCACTTTGTGTAAACTTAACTTTAGTTGTAACAATATTATGGTTAGTATGTAGCACAAACCCTGTTAGGAAGTTTTAACGTCATATGTAAGCCCTTAAAGACTTTCAGATCGGTCGGTTCCGTTCGTTAATATTTTAAATAACTGTTATTTATACAGCCTATAATAACCTAATACGAAAGTTATATTCTATAACAGATTAATCCAAACCCTCTCTTTAAGAAAACGATCACTTCGAAACCAATTAAAATTTTCCATTTACAGTATAACTTTATTTATTCATTGAACCTTGTTAATCTAAAATATTTTTCCCTCTGGCTGAAGTGATTACTGGCCAAAATCACGAAATGACTTTAGCCGTAAGACTGAGTTGGTCGGTGTCGTCGTCCAAACCAATTATAAACTTTAATTACTCATCGCTGAGCGAACTAGTTTACTGCAAACAACAGATGTCGCTAGTCACGCTTGTGACTAAGTACTCGCCCACCACGTGGGTGTAATAGAAATTTGTTCATTCGAATTTTCATGATTTATTTTAGAATAGTGTGTTTCTTTGATATACTTGGCTGTTAAAATTTAGATATTTATAAACGACATTGGTTACAAGGAATTAGGAACTTAAATGTTTTTTTATTATTTCCTTAAGAGTAAATAAATATTACACTCCTTACTTTACTAGACCGTTTCTATTTCAGCAACATTGCCAACCAAAACTTTATTATCACCTCCAATATCAGTCATTTCCATAATCCCACCTTTCAATTTACCGTCCAAACAATTTTTATTTGGTTTCAAAACAACTAAATCTTCTTATGACGCATCGAAGTAAAACTCGCGTCTAGTTATTCGGGGAATTTTATGAGGTCATATATTACCACGACCTAAATCTCCTTGATCTCGACGGGAAGAATTGAGTAGGGTGAGTGACAGTTCGGATTATGGGAACCGTCAATGTATAGTTGACGTTGGGGAGGCACGATTCAGGAATTCATTATGCGGTTCGCACCATCGTTCGTGGATGATAGAGCGCTATTCCTCTCCTGAGTAGTTTTCGGATCATTGAATAATGATCAAGTACTTTATTCTTGTGTTTGGTTTTTAAATTTGATTTTCACAATCATCTATCTTCTTTTTTTCATATCAAGGCTCTGTTATTTTGTTAACAGCTTCACACATATCGATAGATTTATTCGATTCCATACCCCGATGAGATTTGTCTTCAATGAAATCTATTTCATACGCTCCGATATATTTAA